GGTGCCTCTAAAGAACATGGTGCATATATAGAAAGTCTTGTTACCATTTTAGTCTTGTTACCATAATTTCCAGTTGATTTCGCCGTGAATTCTTTGCCAGAAATCTAAATTACCCGAAAAAGCGAGAGAGAAATTGATAAACCCTTTTTGTACGTGCGCGTGTGTGGTGGGAGAGAAAAGAAACGGAGAGAGGTCCATTGTGCCAACTATTTTCTCTGAATCCCCATTCATCCCCCGAGAGAGAAAAAAAAAAACAAGAAGAAGAAGAAGAGAGCGCCCATCGTACTTCACCTCGGTTAATTCTTCATTGGAAATCTATAATTATCCACATTACATCATAATTTTTTACCCCAAATATCCTTAACTTGCATGTGTGCGTGTGCTGGGAGAGAAGAGTAACAGAGAAGTCGATAGTTATTCTTGTTCACATTCTTCTTTGTTGATGTCGTTTGCTTTACAGTCTTAATTCCAAGCACATATGTTTCTCCTTTTTTTTTTGTAATTATTTTAATCAATCTTGATTATTTTATGTTGCAGGTAGTATAATTTCTGAATAGAGAAGCATTCGTGGTATAGTTCCTTTGTGAATTTCTGCCTTTTTATTTTTTCATGTCAATATCAGAATTTGAAGTGTACCAATAAAATTTCTTAAAACTACTGCAGGTATTTTGACAGTGATGTTGAGGACAATAGCCACATAGTTCCTTGCATTTTCTTTTTTGGTTATCATTATGTGCTGGTCTAGTTTAGTTTTGTTGATGAAGGGGTTATAAAAAACCGTAGAGCCATAATCTTTGATGTGATACTGAAGCCCAAATGTTTCTCCCTTTTTGCTCTTTATTTTCAGCCCATCTTATCATTTCATTAATCTTTTTGATTATTTTGTATTGCAGATACCAATAATTTCTGAAGAGAGTCGTTCGATCCGAGCATTATTTGACACATTCTAGGTATGGTTTTTTTAACCCTCATGTTAGTATAATATACTCTTGCGATATCTTTTCAGTTCAAATATGCCCTGTTTCCGAAAAAAAAAAATGAAAAATCATAATAAATAATCTGAAAGCTGCCGACCAATCTGAAGTTCATTCGTTAAAACACTTCTGATAGTGATTTGTTTACCTAGTTATTTTCATGTGGACTGTATTAGTTGATAAAATTTCAAATGCTCCAGGGAAATGGACCTTGTGGTTTGGGGTGGTGCTGCAGATGATGAGGGCAATGATGGTTGGCACGGTATGATAAGCAAAGAAGAATTCGTTCGTGTTATCGAGGCGGCTTTGATTTCTTTAGGATTCAGTGACACTATGCCCATTTTTCATAGCGAGATGCGTAACCAATTTGGTTTTCTGAAGGAACCTAACAAGTTCAGGGACCATATCATTGAAGGGAATTGGCTCAAGGCGACTGAGTTGGTTGGGCAAATGGACATGTCGGATGTCGATAGAGCTAGGGTGCTGATAAAAATTCAGGAACAAAACTTCCGTGAATTACTGAAAGTTGGAAGAAAAGACGATTGTATGAGTGTATTCTACCAGATGACCAAGCTTGGTCTTGATGAAGAGAAAACAGTGCAACTCTTGCAGCTGTTTTTGAAGCCTGAACACGATATGCCACCGGACAGAAAGATTTTGCTGAAAGAGGTTGGGAAGCTGTTGCCACCGGGAATAATTTTGGATAACAGGCTAATAGAGCTTTTAGAACAAGCCCTCTCTCATCAAAAGGAGTCATGCATCTATCATAATACTCCATTGAAGAAGATGTCCCTTTTTAGGGATCATCTTTGTGCTGATAATAGGATTCCGAGCAAACTTCAGCAGGTTAATCTTTTTGCTTTTAGTTATGTGAATGAGTAAACCTAAGTTGTAAGAATTCCTCTATTAATTAATTAGCTAGATGTGTTTAAATTCTGAAGTGAATTTGTTTATTTAGTATTGTGAGTTTTCAAATATTTTTTTGCAGGTCCTAACTTCTCATGTGGATAGGACGAGAGCTGATTATGATACTATTAACGCTCTGCAATTTTCAAGAAATGGTGTGTTCTTAGCCTCTTGCGCCGGAAGGGATGCAATCATATGGGGGGTAATTAATTTTATGTAAAATTATTCAATATGTGCATCATTATTCTGTACCAAGATATTTACTTGCATACATTTCAGGTGCAGGAACAACATATCAGCTTTCTTCATCACTTGACTGGACATGGGCGCTTTATCATCAATGATATATGCTGGAATACAAAGGACACAGAAGTGCTTACGTGCGCTGAAGATGGAGCTAGAAGGTGGGATGTTTTCACCGGAGAATGCCTGTCCACATTCAACAAGAGGGGAATGATTCGTTGTGTGTGGGCAGAAGATGGCGTTTTTACTGCAGATTGGCGGGGGATAACTATGTGGACTGCTCATGGAGAGGAACTAAATAGATGGGGGATTCAAGGGGTAGCGTGGAGTGTTCGAGGACAGGACCTAAGAGGAGAAGAAACAGTATGGGAAATGAAAGAGGATAATTTTCTGACATTTATTGGATCAACGTTGAGGAAAGAGATTGTATACGCCACGGAAGACTCCACGATCACCCTGTTAGGCTGGGAAACTGGGAGAGTAAGGACCGTTATGGAAAATGGCAAAAAGGTGATTTCAGTTGCGTTGTCAATGGACAGCAAAAATTTACTTGTATCTCTGGACAACAATACCGTGAATCTTTGAAATATTGATGGCCGTATAAAGCATTTGAGGATGTTTCATGACGAAGAGATGCAAGATATTGACTGTGGAGTTTGTTTCGGTGGATGTAATGAAGCGTTTGTAGCATGTGCCAACATTGATTCGAGGGTGAGCACTTTTTTAATGAACTAATATTTTTTTTTCTTTAGTGTGGTAATTGTATCTGAGCAGTTGTTGTTTTGTATGGCTCTTAGGTGCGTATTTGGCATAGATCCTCAGGGGAGTTGGTAGCCACTCTCGTGTCCATAGATGGAAATGAATCAGAGAGGCGGGTGGCTTGGAACCCAGTCATTCCAACCATGTTGGTCTCGGGAGGAGACGACCGAGTGATCCGGGTTTGGGGAGTTTGATGCGTGAAGACTGAAGAGCGTGTTTGTTTGTAGTTTCACCTGGTAGTAACTGACTTTGATTCTGTATGAGATAGATATACAAAAAACGTTGTAGCCAATAATGACGTGCCTTTATCTCTCGTGCCCATGGATCGAGTTTTTGTGAGGATTTCTATGATTGGAGAAACTTTACTGCCACTTCTACTTCTAGTTGTTGTAAGAACATGGTTCATATATAGAAATGCTGTTACCATTTTACTTCTACCTCTAAACATTACTTGAAAGCACTTGCATATTATTTTCATCTTTCTGCATAGTTATGTAAAAGCTAATGTTGGTTA